GTATAAATACTACACTTGAAAATTGTGGTTTTGATCTGTCTGTATGCCATTCTGTTGAGCTTCCAGGAGCCCATGTGGTGTTTGGGTTGTGGGGTTTTGGGGCTCTGTTCTCGGCCTAGGTTATTTGGGTCGTTTGATTTTTTTGGTGCCTTATGAGGCTGGGTGACAACGTCCCAATGCGCAGAACAGAAATGACTTGAATGTGACTTTTGCTGTTGGCTGTATTTCTATTTGTTTTGAATGTACCATGGATGTAATGTATAAAGAATATTTATATACACAGAGCAGTGTGGGTTATTTGCCTGATGTCAAATTGAAAGTGGCTTTAAAGCATGACAGAGTGACAGTAGCAGCCTCTTTCACATTGAGACCCAAGGAATGAAAGAGGAAGAAGATCCAGTGTTGCTGAGTCCAGCTTTTTACATGCACAATTAATTATGCTAGCATTTTTTGCAGCTGTTTAGGTTTAAAATTGTCCTTTCTCGAAGCTGGAAAAGTTCCTAATGGTCTTTTATTGACAAGAATTCTATTAAGGCATCAGTCAGCTACATATGCTTCCAACAAAGTGCTGGTCAAGTTGTCTAAAGGTGTCTGAAACCACTTTTCCAACAGCAGAGTCGGGCCTGGCTGAGTCAGACCATTTCAGAAAATCGACCTTTACGTGCATTTTCTGCCATGGCAGTGAAATTAGGCAGGGTTTGAACTTCTCTCTCAAGCTCTCTTCTTTTCCTTTTTTATACAACTGCTGTTCATGTGTAGTACAAGCACATCTTTTAGTGCCTTTGAGCTGAGGTCGTATTTTATTCCCAGATCTGAGAAGACAGTGGGATGCAATCAGGAGGAAGATGTGATTGAAAGCTGTTCACCCCGACTTTGAGTGTGGTTGTTCACAGGGGCGTTTCCAGACTTGGTTGGCCAAAGAGATTTCAGAGGTGGTCAGTGCCACCCTAGGCCCCCCCTCTGGAGTTCTTCAGAACAGTTTGTTTGAAGCATACCGTGGACTTTGCTGCCTGAGAATGGGATCTAATATCATGACCAGCAAGCCTGGAGCCTTTGCAATTAATCATGACGAGTGAATAGTGAAACAGAGTAGTACTCTGGTTAAAAGGCAAAGGAGAGACAGAACCACAACACATTATCACCAGAACACCAGACACACGTCAATGCTTAGGTCGCAGTACTATCTAACTCTCTGGGGAACAAACCTTTCCTTATCTGTGCTGATGGTGGGTTAGTGGTGGAGTTTGATTAATAATCTCACATTTTTTCCCCAGATTTTTCTAGATTGAGAATAACTT